ACAAAGCCGTCCATGTCGAATGAGAACCCCAATATGTGACATTCCAAATCTTATTTGGATTAAGACAAGGAGGAAATGATAGCCCCACTTTATTTAATCTCTTCTTAGATTATGCCTTGCACATATATTATTACTGAGATAAGCAGATGGATACTGATCACTTAATCACTGCATACCGCATTCCAAATGAGAAGACTAATAGAAGACAATGTTTCTGCCGAGACAAATGGACAGAGGATGAGGGGACTATGCCGATGACAGGCGTCCATAGTTACGACAAAAATGATCTTGAACAACAAATTAGCATCCTCTAAAAAGTATCCCAAGAATTAGGACTCCTGCTAAATCTTTCCAAAGCAGAAACTCTGATCTGGAATTGGAATGAAAGTTGTTATGGTGTTTACTCTGAATTGATCATAAAAAATGTAGAATTAGTAAATGATAAATACTACTTTGTATAGATCAGTTACAGCAACTTTAGTGTCGAAGATAAAGAAAGTGAACATGGAATAGACTGCAAAAACCAAATCATTAATCTTAAAACTAGATAAAATTTCTTAAATGTTCTCGTCAGATGGAGACTTTCACGCGGATGACATGCATGGCGTCAAACCCGTCAAAATATATCTAAATTGTTCGCTTTTTTCGGATCGATAGCCTAAAAGGACTTCGAGTAAATGAAGCGGATAGGTCTTTGCGAGGACTATCCTTCTTTGAACTTCGTGGAATAACAAAGAAATGCTCCAGAGATAACAACTAAAATAGGTAACAGATGGAACCCGAAGAGAAAATAACGTCATAATCAAGATGGTGACATTGCTTTAAGTTCGAATGTGGCGAAGAAAACATAACACAGCTGATGACACTGAAGAGAAATATGATGAGAACAGAATTTAATTCAGGAAATATCTTAAATAAATGTTTTCTATTAAATTATCAAAATGGTTTAATTCTTTTTGATACTATTAATTAATTTGTTTTCAACCTCAGATTGAAAAGAAAATAAGCAGAACCAGTTTCTAAAGATTACCTGCCTTTATAGAACCGGTTGGGATGACACCACTGAACTTTTCAATGCTGTCATATAGGAATAATGTGCCGCTGTCAACACTGTAGTTCGAACACAGCTCCCCAGTGAGTAAACACAGGCGATCCCGTTATTGAATTAAGTAGATCGCGTGAACATAAAGGAACGTATAAATAGGAAGTAGCGTGACATCTAAACGATCACCATTTCTATTCTATCCTCTGTTACTATACGGATCGCTATTCACTATACTATTCTCTATACTGATTACTACATGGATTACTATTTGGTGGTTACTTTTCGAGCGAGTATTATCCAGCAAATACTATTAGTGCAAGTGATATTCGAAGGCGTCTGACACTAGTATTGTTCAACGGCGTTATTATAGTTGTATCTGCGATTACAAAGTCTCTACTACAACGAGCATTACTAAAGTGACAACGAGTATTCTTTGACATTATAAAAAAAAAACAAGTGTTTGTTGACATCACAAAAAATGCCCTTTGCTAAAATTTGCTTGTTTTATTATGACTCCTTGTTTAAAACAAAACTCATGACTATCCATTTATCTTCTTATTGTGCTTCTTCGAAAAGTATTTTTTTAGATTAACTCACTTTTGCCAGTTTCTATTTTGATTCGTCGGGAATCGTTCAACAAGACTGGATACATTTTTTTTCTTTAGTATCATCCTGTCTGCAAAATTAAACTCATCATTCGCCTTTGCCAGTTTTTGATTTATTTCGTCCAGGCCTTATGCGAGACCAAACACATTATAGGATGCTGTTCCGCTCTATCCAGTATTATCGTGTAAGACTGAAATTACTACCGATCTTTGTAAGTCTGTTTTATTTGTTTGTTTTTTGTTCAAAGCCCTTCTTCGAGACCGTGTGCTGAACACACACTCATTTCCTAGTCATTGATTGGTTTCCTCCTGAGTCCTTCTCGAAAATGAACTCATCAAACTTCCTAAAGTGTGCGAGAATTTGCGTTGTTTGATTAGCTGTCTTCTGCTCCCACATTAGCTTCTGTCTTATCAGCCTGGCATGCTGTAGAATTCGTTGATCGAAATAGATAATGGTGTAACGCAAAGACTCACATAGCAACCGTAGAAGTGAATATTTAATGAAATAAATTCAGTAATAAAAATATAACATTTAAATGACAAAGAAAATGTTTGTGTTTGAGATGATGAAAGGTAAAGTTGTATTTCGGCAATATGTGTGAATATTATCCAGAGAAAGAGAGAGAGAGAGAGAGAGAGAGAGAGAGAGAGGGGGGGGGAGGTTGGAAAATAATTCTTCCTCAACAAATGTTGACCATGTTCACCATAGTCTATGAATATAGAATACAGCGCAGTACGTAATGTGTTCAATGAAACAACGTTAAAAATTAATACTCACGAGTCACACACTCTACTGAATCTGACTATATCGCCAATACCACCAGCAGCTGTTCCGTAATTCTTCAGTCTTCGATATCAAAGGCTGCCAGTGAGTATTCGAAAAAAAACATGGCCACCTTTATACACGGCGCATTGAATATATTGAGCCTTCTGATTAGTTAACCCTTCTATTGGTGAACTATAAAATGAGTCAACTCATTTTGGCTGGCTTACTAGTACACCAGGGTACCCAAAAATTCAAACAACAAAGACTCGGAGACGCTTTTGAACTCTATCAAGACTGGAAAGTGATGTCTGGGCAGCTCCCGTCCAAATATAGAAACAATACTCCATTTTTGGCCTGATCTATCTCTTATAAAGGGAGAGGATAGCATCAGTAGTCAGTTACTTACTTGAGCGGTATAAGGAGCCGATCATTGTACCTGCATCTTTAACAATGGATCGTATATAAGAGTTCCGCTTGTGGTAGGGTGTGAGTTTGAGGCCTAATATCCTGTCAAGACACGGGGATCTACTCGAGAGGGCATCCGTTCATCGTGACTGGCGGTAGTTCGGGGTCTGATCGGCGATGATGGAATGTTACCAGTTTGGTTTTAGGGGCAATGAATGTAACCAATTAGTTTTTCCTCACTAGGAAGTTACTGTTAAACCGGAAGTGAGGTAAGCTGCTAATCACTGATCAAGAGTTTTAGAGGTGCGCCCGTATATTGATATTTTAATCAACCATTATGTTGAAACAATGTTTGAAATCGTTCAGTGTAAGAAATTATTTTGAGGACTTGGATTAGATAACAATTCAAAGACGTGAGGGTTGAAGTCAGTTTGTGCGTGAAAGAAAGAAAAGCATGAAAGAAAGAAAATCATTCATAAAGGTTTCTGTATGCGTGTTGCATTGTAACGGGAAGAGAGTTATGGAAGAAGACTCTCCTCCTTAAAGAGGTTCTCAAACCTGCCATGAGGAGTCACTATTATTTTACTTTTTGTTGATATAATAGAAATGTGAGAACATATTTTATACAAATACAATATAAACAATAATATGCATGCAATGTATATTAAAAATATTAGATGATTGAAACAATATCTATTCAATATCGCAAAAAGTTCTTCTTGTGTAAGAATAATGAAAAAGTTGATATAGAAAAATATGTGCGGCAAAAGAAAAAACAAGTTAATATATAAAAATGTCTGGGGAATCGAATGGCGCCCGAATCTTGTCACAGTTTGAATTTGTAAATCTGGTGCTACTGGAAATGATGGGTTTACAATTAGTCATGTAGAAACGGTGGCTTCAGCTTGTTTTTATTGTTTGTTTTTGCGTTGCTTACGCGTGTATTAAAAATATTAATGTCTCTTCAGTTTCTTGAATGGTTCTGCGTATTTGGCTGCAGTGCATTTGACTTGGCTAAGTTGTGTTCTATTTCAAAGTCAGTGTTTAGGACATAGATATTTGAAAAATTCAAGGTGCTAAGTAGTCTTGGAAAAATACTTCTGAAGCTTTTAGTCCTTTTGTTTGTCCAGAAATGACTGGTATTCCGTTCATATGTCTTTAGCAGGAAAACATCAATGCCACAAGATTCGGTATCGGCAGAAATTTTTGTCTTTTCAAAAAAAATTGGTTTCCATAGAACGCGGATTTACTCTGCCAATAGTAGTGACGTCAAGGGGCCAAACACAAATGTTTACTTGATAACAAATATGATACGATTTAACCGCATGGGACAATACCAATTTAATTTGTGAGATTGTGTCATAGTAAAATTCTCCACACACCTGGTGGTTTAATTAAATATCCTGCAATGAAGGAAAATATCTCTGGAAAAATAGAATGAATAAAATACCCGGAAAGGCCAGGTGAATATATATATATATATATATATATATATATATATATATATATATATATATATATAAAAAACAACATTTGGATTAAATATCAACAAATCTATTTGTAGTAGAGAAACTTGCTAGGCTTTGTTTTGATTCGTTTCGAATCTTTCACTGAAACTGACTTCATAAATCTCTTAGTTTGGTATCAGCTAGTTTTCTGCAAAGTCGACTTGTGTTTTATTTCCTTCAAACGCATTCTTGGTAAATGAACCCAGGGCGCCAAGGTATGGCTCATTAAATTGTTACCAAGTTCGTCTAGTTTAATATGGCTACTGTTCTGTAACAAGACCTCTATTGTTTTATTTTCCCAATGTTTTTGTATCTGTAGTGGTTTCCTTTAAGATTATATTATTATGTCTCTTTAAGGTTTAAGGTAGCAGCCTGCGTATAAGTTTATTTTTGCTATTGTACGTCTTCATGCAGAACTCCTTTCACTACGTGTTGAGTGTTCTCAGACTGTAACTTCATGTAACTTTCTTCCTTTCTGAGAACTTATCACTGCAAACTTCATAATTAGTCACGTAAGCAAACCACTTGCTCCCTCCTTTATTCTTTTTGACAAACAGTTTCAGATTTATGTTCGCATTCAGGCCTCATATTTCTTCTCTTCCTTATTTTTTATCAGTTTATTTATTTTGTTATTCCGAACAACATAGTTTCAAAACTCACAGATAAATCACGTTGAAACACCGTTTCCCATGCAATCACTAAAGTTAAACAACATCGAGCTTGGTCAGTACCTAGATGAGTGATCGCTTGGGATTAGCAGGTGACAGAAGCTTGGATGTGCGGCTAGTGCAATGGTTAATGGTTCGCAATTGTTAATCGGCAAGCCGGGTTTCTTTTCCTGTTATAGTCACTTCTGCGCAAATACCTTTGGGAAATTTATGAATGCACATCCTCTCCCACAGCTTCCTGATGTCATCAGTTCCCAAGTAGATATCTATGCAGACGACACTACTATTTACTCCTGCCTCAATAGCAAATCTGGCATCTCTGACAAAACTAACCTGGCCGTTCGTCTCGAAAATGATTTTCAATCTGTTGTTGATTGGGGTAAGAAATGGCTGGTTAAATTAACTCAAAAACAAAACTACTATCTTTTACTAACCACTGATAACCCTCCCTGTCTAATATTAGAATGTCTGATGCTCAACTCCACGGGAGCATCTCTCTGCGACTGTTTGGTCTCATACTGTCTGCTGATCTGAGATGGAACAAATACATTGAATCAATTGCTTCATCCACTTCAAATCTATAAATCAACAATTCGCTCTTGCATGGAATACTGTTGCCATATATGGTCTGGTGCCCCCGCTGTTCGTCTTAAGGTCCTCGACAAAATCCCGAGACGGATGTGCAATGAGATTGGCCCTGATCTGGCAACTCATTTACAGCCGCTCTCTCATAGATATGCCGTCGCTTCCCTCTATCTTTTCTATAAATACTTTCATGGTAACTGCTCCGACAAGCAACTTTCGCTACTTCCAAACTGCATGAATTTTAACGTGCTACTAGTTTGGCATCTCAGTCCCAACCTTTCACTGTCGAAACGGTTAAATGTAGGCGTCTCTTCTACTCCAATAGCTTCATGTCTCGCACTTCTCGTCTGTGGAATTCCCTTCCTCTTACTTGTTTCCCTGATAGGTATAATCTTCAATTATTCAAATACAATGTCAATCGACATCTCCAGATGTCTTAATCTATTTCTCGTCCTTTCCTCCATCACGTCTCTTGACTTTTGTTCCCACTCTCTGTAACCCCTTCCGTGTTAGTAGCATTCTCGCTTTGCTTGGGGTGAAATGCTTAAAAAATAATTTTAAGACTAAACCATTATTATCTCGAAAAATAAAATTCTAACAATCTAAAGATATTTCCTGGTTTTAAATAAACTGTAAAGAGTTGATAGGATGCAGAAAACGAATCAGTCAATCAATAAACTAGTTTCAAGTTTGTATTTAATTCGTTTGTCCAATTTTACACATTTGGCTTTTAAAAAAAGGTGTGATGAATAGGGCTTCGCGTCTTGATTACCGTAAGGCGTTTATGTGGCTGTCTGAAGTAGGCACGCGTGCGAAACGGGTGCACATCGGGAGGCGGGACATCTACTGTGAAGTGATTTAGATTCACAGCTCTGATAACTTCCGGTATATGTTACTACCAAAGCACGAAAGTATCATTCTCTTGATTCTCCTTACCCACAAGTTGCCTTAGACATAAGACGTTCATCTCCAGGAAACCTTGTTCTTTAGCGAACCTCATGTTGCATTAAACACAACACAAAATAGTAATACAGCATATGATGCATATTAATGCAGTTTGGAAGTAGCGAAAGTTGCTTGTCGGAGCAGTTACCATGAAAGTATTTATAGAAAAGATAGAGGGAAGCGACGGCATATCTATGAGAGAGCGGCTGTAAATGAGTTGCCAGATCAGGGCCAATTTCATTGCACATCCGTCTCGGGATTTTGTCGAGGACCTTAAGACGAACAGCGGGGGCACCAGACCATAAATGGCAGCAGTATTCCATGCAAGAGCGAATTGTTGATTTATAGATTTGAAGTGGATGAAGCAATTGATTCAATGTATTTGTTCCATCTCAGATCAGCAGACAGTATGAGACCAAACAGTCGCAGAGAGATGCTCCCGTGGAGTTGAGCATCAGACATTCTAATATTAGACAGGGAGGGTTATCAGTGGTTAGTAAAAGATAGTAGTTTTGTTTTTGAGTTAATTTAACCAGCCATTTCTTACCCCAATCAACAACAGATTGAAAATCATTTTCGAGACGAACGGCCAGGTTAGTTTTGTCAGAGATGCCAGATTTGCTATTGAGGCAGAAGTAAATAGTAGTGTCGTCTGCATAGATATCTACTTGGGAACTGATGACATCAGGAAGCTGTGGGAGAGTCATGGATTCGCAAACTGGGCGATATCGCTCACCGGTGGGCGATTCCAACAGTTGGGTGATCGAATAGAAGAACAGAAACTGAACAGAAAACGATGTGCTATTGGAAATTTTGTTGGGTCATATAGAATTTTGAGTATTAAAAATGTATTTCAACATATAATACCTGAAAAAATATCCAAAGATATACAATGAACCTTAAGAAAAACAAAACAAAACAGAAAACTAAATGAGAATAACTGGGCCATATTCGTCGATATAAATAACTCATAAACAGGGAATATTTTGGTATTTTCGAATTTTTTTTTCAATTTTTTTTTCGAATTTTTGAATTATAATTCTGACAAGGGTCATTAACATTCGTTAAAATTTGTTACTGGTTCATAAAACCAGTAACAAATTTTTACCAAACAATTTTAGTATGCTTTTGAATATTGACTATACAGGGAGACGTTGGAAAGTTTGTCCATGTGAAAGTGTGTGATGGTGCAAAAAACGTTTGGGAACTACTGCTCGAAGCTTACTTGACTACATAGAGGTATATATAGTAATTCTACCAAACACCTAATAAAGAATTTTTCTCAAATCTAACATTTAACAGTATTTCATAGGAAATTCGTACGTACATGTGCATTATAGAGGCATTTATGCATATAGAAATTCATTCACCAATTTTGTATTCTTTACCTTATGTTTGCTCATGTAATAAAATATGTTGTTAATTTTACATACTTGTCTATTCGTTCTAACTATCTTACTATATTTTATGAGAAACACAAATGCGCCTTTCTTCTTCTTCTTGTTCTACTACTACTACTACTACTACTACTACTACTACTACTACTATTACCTCTTCTTCTTCTTCTTTCTTCTTCTTTTTCTTCTTCTTTTTCTTCTTCTACTACTACTACTACCTCTTCTTCTTCTTTTCTATGAGTTTCAGGTCGTTGACGATCATGACACTCCCAAATTTTCTGTCCTTTGTAGCTTTTAATAAAACTTGTCTTTTTGTCATCTCTCCTAAAACTTGTTCCGCCATCCATTTACTCAATCTGGCTAGGTAGCTTATACATTGTTTTCCTCTGTCCCACTTGCCTGGAATCTATGCTGTCTGTATAGTAAGTCTGATCAGTTCGATAGGGTCAAATTGGCCGCTGATGTCAAGAACGACTTTCAGTCTGTTGTTAACTGGGGCAAAGGTTGGCTTGTTAATTTTAAAGTCTCCAAAACTAAACTCCTCTCTATTAATCATCTGAGAGACCTCTCTCTGTCTTCCATCAGCATGACTGATGCCAACCTCCAGAACAGTGATTCGTTGGGCCTTCTGCGGTTAACGTTCTTGGCTGACATGAAGTGGAAAGACTATATTGAATCCATTGCTAGATCAGCTGCTAAGCAAATTTATTCACTGCGTCGTGTTAGACAATTTATCTCTCCAAAATCTGTCTTACATACCTATAAGTCTAACATTCGTCCATGCTTAGAATGTTGCTGCCACATATGGGCCGGTGCTCCTGTTATATATCTAGAGATTCTTGATAAAATCTAAGGAAGAATCAGCAATATTATTGGTCCTGATCTGGCGTCTCGGATTCAGTTACTTTCCCACAGTCGTAAAGTTTCCTCCTTTTCTTTAAATCCTTGGATGTGTTCTTCGCTATGATACCTAGATGTTATGAAGTTAAGTGCAGTATTAGACTGGTGACGAAGTCTTATCAATTTACAATTGAGTTTGCTAGATGTAAGCGTAGGTTTCTAACGATGAGTCCCTTTTGCTTTCACAGCTCTTGAAAAATCACCGCGACGTTGTAGAACTGCGATTTTCCAACAACTTTAATGAAAGTGACAAAATGCTTTGTTGCTGACATTGTTTCATTATTGCTAACAATGCCAAAACAAAATAACTTTTTTTATTTTCTTATATATATATATATATATATATATATAATAGAATCAATAAACAGATACTGTAGCGATCAGTCCCCAAAATAATTGGTTTTTATAGCGACACATTGTCCAATTTATCAACCTTTTCGTTCTTTCTTTTATGTTTTCGTCTCTTAACCTGACCCGTTAGTTTTCACTTTTTTTCTCGTGTTACTTATTTTACATAATGGGAATTCGTACAGAAGGTGTGAGACAAAATAAATATAACGCAGAATTATTTAAAACACATACATAACAATCTTTATGTTTTTGAATACAAAGAAATTTAAATATGAATATGGCATAATACTCATGCCAATTCTTGTAATTGTCATGTCTCCTAGACCAGTCTGATAAAGTACCAACATCTGCGCAAACAAGTTGAAAAATAATAAACTTATATTATTGCATGCCTGTAAGGTAAAGTCGAAGAGGAGAGACTAGACTGAACGCGACTGACTCCCGAAGGCCCTCAACGCTAAGTTGATGAGGCATTGTTGCTAATCTACAAATGTGTTTAAATTCATATAATCTTGGTTCCATAGTGGAAAGTTCATCAGAATTATTACAATGAAAATATTTATAGAAAAGGCACAGAGAGGCTACATTACTGTCGTGGAAAAATGACTGAAGGCGACATGCCAGGTGAGGACCGTTGACATTGCAGATTCTTCATTGGACTTTATAAAGAATCTTTAAATATATAGCAGGAACATCAGACCAGAGGTGACATCAATATTCAAAGCCAATACGAATGGTAGATTTATAAATATGTAAGATAGATTCTGTCGAGAAAAATGATCTTGCACAACACAGAGAACCGACTTTCCTAGCAGCAGACCTAGAAATTGATTCAATAAAACATTTCTACTTCATGTCAGCCGAAAAAATAGTTCGAGAAGTAACACTGAATCACTTTCCTGGGGGTTAGTATCAGCTATGCTGATGGAAGGAAGAATCGGTTATCTCAGACGATTAAAAGAGATCAGTTTATTTTATGGAGGCTTGAAAATTAACAAGTCAAGCCTTGACTCAGTTAACAACAGGAATTAGATCATTCTTAAGAACAGATGCCTATTTGACCTTATCGAACCGAACAGAATTCATATTAAGACAGGAATAATTGATTATGTCATCAACATAGAAAACGACTAGAGAAGTTATGTCTTCAGGAAGGTCGTCGATGAAAATTGAATCGTTATAAAGAAAAAATCCATCCCCAAATACCATAAGCTTTAACTTGTGAAGAATACCGATATGCTAAATCCTGTCAAACGCCTTCGAGATGTCCAAAGCAACAGCCCGATCTTCACCATTCTTATCTTAAAACTCGACAAACTCTTTTAGCAAGAACCGTTAACACATCAATAGTTGACTTAAGCAAATTCATTTTAGGCCATTTCGAAAGATCTGTACTAATATTACGTTTTCATCCGGATAAAAAATGAATTCAGTAAATATACAGAGAAAGGGACTAAGACAAGGACGTATCTTCTCGCCGGATTTATTTACCCTATACAGTGAGGCGATGCTAAGAGAATTAGAAGGCCTATCAAAAATAATTTTTAGCGGCCATTATCTTAACAATATGAGATATGTATACGGCACAGCAAATACATAAAGGAAACTACAGGAACTCTTAAAGAGTGTAGTGAAGGAAAAGGAGAAAGAGTAAATATCAGTTGCAAGAAGGCAGAATATATGGTTGTTAGCAAAAGGAACAGCCCAAGATGTCAATTACAAAGTGGAGATGCCAACATCATGCAAGTAGAATAGTTTAAATATCTAGGAAGTGTTTTAACAGGGGACTGAAAATGTGACACTGAAATCCTAAACGCTATCGTATAACAAAAGATGCCTTCTAAAGGCTACGCAAAGTATTAAGAAACAGAAAGATTTTGATAGAAACAAAGAAAAGAGTCCTGAATTGTGATGTAATATCAATCCTCTGATAAGTCAATGAATGCTGAACAATCTCCTGAAAGAGATTTGAAACAACAGAAATGTGATTCTACAGAACGATGTTGAAAATACCATGAAACGAACATGTGAGCAACGATTAAGTTTAAGATACAATGGAAAAAAGGAAACTTATACTCAACATCAGGAAGAGACAGTTTAAATTTCCAGGCCATATAATGAGGAAAGAGGACTTGAAAAATTTAATACTCACAGAACAGACTGAATTCAAGACGGAGAGAGGAAAACAACGCATAACCTACCTAGAGAATTTATGTTATTGAATGGTAGACTAGGGTTTGAGAGAGATAACAAAAATACAAAATTTATTAATCGTTACAAATGACAGAATTATTAAGAGCTACGAAAGACAGAATTATTAATCGCTACCAAGGACAGAATTATTAAGAGCTACAAAGGACAGAATCATTAATCGTTACAAAAGTGTTGTAGAGTAGTTTTCACAGTGTTGGCTTGTATTTCCTCCTGTAGTTGCATCTGGAATGTTCTCTGTTGCTCTAATATTGTCATTTGTTGTTCCGTCTGGAACTTAAAAAATTCCTGGAATATATTTTTGCATTCCTCCATCTTCGCAAAAAGTTTACACAATGCTTAAATATTGTAGAGGGGGGGGGTCCAAAACGAATTTGCAATTCGTGACCTATTTGAGCAAACTGTCTTATCGAAAAAAAAAATTATTTTCTCAGTTGAGAATACGACTGATTTTTTTTTCGTCACTAAGTTGACGTCTTGTCTTTCGAAAAAACTTCCCCAAGTTTTTTTTTTTTTTTTTAATGTGAATCCGAGATGTTGTTGCCGAAAATTTGACGAGCAAGATTTTTTTTTCTTTTTTTCTCCGTATGAAAACGAATTTCATCACTAAATAATGTGGCGAGCGAATTTTTTTTTCTTTCACTATATGAATCCGAATCCGTCGTACGCCACGTTTATTATGGCGAAACGAATTTTTTTTTTTTCCGAATGAATATCGAATCCTGGCCGCCAAAGTTGTTATAGAGTGAACGAAAAATTTTTCTTTTCCCGTATGAGAAACGAATCCCTCGTCGTCAATGTGTTGTAGAGTAGTTTTCACAGTGGAGGCTTGTATTTCACTAAGTCGGTCCTAAATTGGGTTCGACGTACAAAACGTTAGGAACTTGAAATAATAGTTAATGACGCGGCAAACTAGTTGTGGTGGTTGATACTTCAATGTCCGACATCGACTGACTCACTCAACTCCACTGAGCCCTGGCAACTGCCACTACTACTACTTATTATCTGTGGGAAAGTCTATTAACAATAGAATAGGTATGTTCCGGTATAACAAAAATGCAGAATTATTAATCTCTAGAAAAGACAGAATTATTAATCTCTAGAAAAGACAGAATTATTAATCGCTACAAATGGCAGAATTATTAATCTCTACAAAGAACAGAATTATTAATCTCTACAAAGGACAGAATTATTAATCTCTACAAAGGACAGAATTATTAATCGCTACAAAAGACAGAATTATTAATCGCTACAAATGGCAGAATTATTAATCTCTACAAAGAACAGAATTATTAATCTCTACAAAGGACAGAATTATTAACTGCTACAAAAGACAGAATTATTAATCGCTACAAAGGGCAGAATTATTAATCTCTACAAAGGACAGAATTATTAATCGCTACAAAAGACAGAATTATTAATCGCTACAAATGGCAGAATTATTAATCTCTACAAAGAATAGAATTATTAATCTCTACAAAGGACAGAATTATTGTGCTACAAAGGACAGGTAATTGTGGATAACCTGAAGGGAAACGACACATAGAAGAAAAATTAAAGAGTGGCTCAATAAGTTCGTAGCATGGTACAAGATTTTGTCTGGATTGACGAGAGTAACATTTCTCAAATTGTTTACCCTTGTGTCACCCTTGAAATATTTTTCATTTCTCAGGAAACACCTATATATTAATATCTACCTCTTTTATATCTTATTAAAATGGCCATATATTTTCCAACAATATGTCTTACGTGTATAATATAATTACGAATATAAAATT